TTATGCAGTTCAATAAAAGCTTTAAGGTTAACAGAAAATACTTTGCTTGTTGAAAAGGTGTTCTAGAAATTTTTCGAAGTACAAGAATGTTTTTTACTATTCTCAAGTAAAAAATCGTTTGGAGCAGATAAAATAGAGTACATCTTGACATTCTGGCATAATTTGGATGGATTTTGATTAGATAATAAATTTTTTGGTTTTATTCAAAAATAGGCAAAAGTGGAATATTTCACCTAATATACGTTTTCAGTAGGTTTTTGAAATGTTTTTGAAAAACAAATGTTACCACGAGATTCAGCATAGTGGACAACCTATGTTTTCATGCATTTCTGACAGCCTAAACCTAATGACAGAGAAGTCCTAAGGCTTCGGGAAAAAGGTTCGTGGCGCCCGAATCAAGCAAAACCAAACGTTTGCTTAGATCTTATTTTGTAGAGGACGCGTCGAACTATCTATCTACGAAAAAAGAACCATAGATTACTATGTCGCTTTCTAGAAATCCAAGCTTGTTTTTTAAAGATCTTATAGAAAATCGATCTTCGGAATGTTTTCGAAAGACACTTTCGCTTGTGAATATATAGCTTAAACTGTCGTCTTTCGGTTGCTGAAGACTGCAGGTTTCTGTCATTTTTCTATCAAAAGTTATTTAAAAAACAACCGAGGCCACTTTTTTTGGATGGACAATAATTGTGTGTAAGGGAGACTGCTTTTCGAATGAGTTTTCTACAAGACAAGTGAAAGCGTCTTCTACTCCTTTGTGGGATCCCACACGATGAACGTATTCAAATTTTGAATTCGGTAGATAAATCACGTAGTGCTGAGGGCATTGTGTAAAATGGGCATTATATAAAAAAACTTCAACTGCTTTTATCGGTTAAATAATTTTTCATGTTCAGTCCTAGAACGGTTTTGAAGTCAGCTCGGTAAATTAACTAATCGAAGCGCGATGAATCAAAACCGATTAGTTACTTTGCATCAGGAGCTTTCATGTTTTCTGTGAGCTCTTTGAAATAGTTTCTGTTGTATGTACCACGTGAGAAACAACGAGAAAAAAATGTTTATATTGTTTGGCCTGACTAATAAGTGTGCAAAAAATCGAAGTGCTCAGTTATAGTAGTATTCATGTGAAAACAAAGGTCGCCCATCTTTTCACAGTAAAAAGTATATCCAGGCACTGTAAGAGAAATAAAATTTATATATAATAAACAGCAACATAGATCGCAACAGTTTTATTACAATCTTTATCACTGACGGTTGTATCTAAAGTTTATCTTGATTAACTATAATGAATCTGGTAAGTCTTTTAAGAGATTTTACATAGGGGTATGAGCGAGTTAACTACTAATAGCTAACTAAGACAGAAATTAATAAAAGAAAAAAGAAAGTGCAAAACCTTGTGCGCTGAATGATTCAGTGTTACTAACGCAGACGACGAGTTCCTCGAGGTTATTTTTCCTGAATGAGTTGATAGTTCGTAGAATCTCCTTCATTCTTTACGCTGAAGACAAAAATACTTATTTTTTGTTTCAGTTAGTCTTTCAATCATTTATACTGCTGCTTGTAACCAGTTATTGTCATACAAGTAAGATAATTTTATCGCACCATATGTATCTGAATTTTACAGTGTTTTACGCCTTTACTTATAGATAATTATGCTAGAAATTACAGAACGAATTCAAGAGAAAATCTTGCTTATGACACATATGGCGGCAGTAACGATGCTCGAAGCCTATCATCAATGGCAACTGGATCAGGATACAATAATGTGAAGTAATTATCAAAGTTTGAGGATTAAATAGTACATATTCAATTTGTGATTGTTTTTCTTTTGTTGTAATTTTCAGTATATTTGATAATCCACAAATAACATATAATGAAGATTTGCAAAAAAACACATATGCATTCAATGACCAAAGTCAAATAATGAACAATGTTCATACAAGTCAACAGGAAACCGTTCACCGACGTAAGCATGAAAAACAAGAAATATTTGTCAATGAAATGATTCTAATATTCATGTATTTTTTAGTTCCGTCACCATGTACTGAGGTAATAACATTCGAGAAAAAACTACCACATCCCTCAGATAAAAGAAAATATATTGTCTGTTCCGATAACTTTCATTATGAAATGATCTCATGTCCGGAATTATCGGAATTCAATGAACAAACTGGTGAATGTGAAGAAAAAAGAAAGACTGATGAGGATGATATATGTAAACAACCAGATTTATGTGCTAATGGAGGTCAATGTTATTCGACATCCCCAACAGAATACAAATGTACATGTACAGAGATGTTTACTGGTGATAGATGTGAAACCCCCGTAAGCAGTTGTGCAACTGAACCATGTGGAGAAGGCGCTAAATGTGCTGCATTAAAAACAGATGATTATGAGCAAGATTATGTGTGTATTTGTAACAATAAAAAAACATATGGTTTGAGTTGTCGTGAAAGTAAGTTTATTGATTTCTCACATAAAACGATAATATTCGAACGATATATATTGTTTTCGATTGTTAGCTGTTTCAAATCCATGTTCAAATTCGAAACTTCAGCAATATTATCCGTATGCCTTTAGTTCAAGAGCATATGTCCAATGCAACGGTGACCTAATCTATTTTAAACCATGTGGCACTGGTTTATTCTGGAATCAAGAGCAAAAAATATGTGATCGTGTAGAAACAAGCCCAACCAAATCTTTCTCGATCGATCAATCATCTAAAATTGATACTCAACAAGATCAAAGTCAGCAGCAAAAAGAAGCAGTGAAGCCACAAGAATTATTGATAAGTCCTATTCAACAACAAAAACCATCAAGTGTCAACGTTGAAACTGTTCAGCCACCTACTGATACACTAATTGTATCAAATATAAACGCTCAAAAACCAATCACGAACTCAAATAACGTGTACCAATCATATTCAGAGACTATGACACCGTCAATACGCCAAAAATATATGCTGCAAAAACAAGAAAAAAAGAATGCATATTTAGCTCGCCAACAATTAGACCAAACATACAATTCAAGACAAACGCAAAATGATCAACAACGCTCGCCAATGTATCAGCAAAATTTAAACCAGCTTCCCTCAGAATCATCAGTGTCATTCGAAGATCGACCTTTATACTCAAATTTAAATCCACAATCGACTAATTTTGCTCTTCCTCAGCAACAATCAAAATCTTACAGTAAACTATCCAATGACTATTTAAACAATGATCTTGCTTCAACACGAATGCGAGACAATAACGCACAGGTAAACAGTTATTTCCTAATATTTTGTGAAAAAAACTCGGTGTTTGCAGAAGTTACAAAATATTATCCGATAAATGTATATCAGTTTGCTGATATTCTTTAGAGATTGTTGAGCAGAAACACCACAAAAAAGACGAGAAAACTTCTGTTTTAATCTATTTCTCTTTTAGCAACGACAAGTGACTGATTATGGGAATATTCAACAAGGGCAATTTGCTAGTAATGTATTGCAAACCAATTCGCTTCGACCAAATACTCAAAATGATCTTGTATCATCATCATCACAACAACAAATAAATACTAATGGACAAATACTGAATGATGTGTCGAACAAAGCCATTGATTCAAGATTAATGCAAGATAATAATATAAAGGTAAAAAACGCTAAATAATTTTGAGTTAAGGCAATAGGGATTAATTTATAAATTATTGAGTATAAAACTGCCACGAAGAACATGATAGATTTAAGCAAAAATCATAATTTTATTCGAGCTTTCGATAAGAATCTCCCTCATATTCCTGATGATGATAAGAGATTCTTATCGAAAGCTCGAATAAAATTATGATTTTTGCTTAAATCTATCATGTTCTTCGTGGCAGTTTTATACTCAATAATTTATAAAGTAAAAAACGCTCCTTTTGCTTATCGAGATAGAAAAGTCGAAAAAAGTTTTTATTTTTTTCAAGCGTTATATATCATTCTATTAAAGCAATTTGTATTAGTTAACATACACCTTTTCTTTTTCAAAGCTTCATCTGTAAATATTTCTATTGGTTTCAGCAAGGACAAATGAGCAGTACCTACGATGTTGATCAACAACGCCAATTATCAAATGATTTACCACAAACTAGTTCAACTCTTAATCAGTATTCATCTCAACCATTATCTAATGGTCAACAAAAACAATCTGGAGATGCTTCACAACGCTTCATTTCACCAAATCAACGTACACAAACGTTTAGTGGTATAACCACGAATTTAAATCAACAAGTACCGTCATTTGCTGATTCAGCTTCTCAACAATTTAATAATCAACAGCAACAGTTTTCGAATCTAGGACAAAAACCAGAAACTCAAACTTTAATTGAAGCCTCGAATAAACAACAACCATTTAGTTCTGGCTCATTGAGCACTAATAAACAAAACAATATGAGATCAACGCAAACGTTCGATTCATTTAGTCAACAACAACCTCTGACGATAGACTCGAATAGACTATTAGCAGCACAAAATGCTCAAAACGGCATTGAATCATCCAGTTCTCAACAATTTAATAATCAACAGCAGCAGTCTTGGAGTCAAATGCAGCAAGCACAGAAAATGTCGGCATTAAGCGATAAAACAAATGTTCAACCACGAGCACCAATCACTTATGGTTCATATAGTATTATTCGACAAAAGGTTCGAAATGATATTGTACCATCAGCACGACAACAATGGTCTAATCAAGTGCAACAGGCAAAACCACAAATAACGGTATTAAACGATAACACAAATTCATTTTCCGTTCAACAACAGCGACCACTCAATTCTGCTAGATTCATCATAAGACAAAATTCTGAAAACGATGTTGTACCAGCTTCAACAAATTCATTAAACTACCAAATAAAGTTATTGCAAAGCAATAAGGATAAGCAACAACAACAAAATGAAATACAAACAGATTCAGTTGGTGATAGTGAAAATCACCAATTTTGGTTAAGTTCAAACCTACAATCACAATAGTAACTCATGAACAGCTACGTACAAAGTATTTCGTTTTGTTAAATCGAATCTCTTATCGTTTTGTTTGATTTTTGTTTTATATCCTTTCCTTAACGTTTTTTAAACCGGTGATTGTTTTATTCTTATACCATTTCAAATTGCTTTTGAAATATTAAACTTAATATAAAAAGATTTGTACTACTTGCTAAAAGGAGATATGTATTAAAATGTTTGGTAATTGGGAGGAATAGCAGATTTATTGATTTTTTTGACTGTCCAAAAAGTAAGCTGGGGACATAGTCAGTAAATTCTTCCTCAATGTTGCATCTTCTTTTCCTAATTAATTGTCATTGATTTACAGAAGGTTTATCGATTAGCGTTTTAAAAAAATGTGGTGATTTAACAATTAAGGGAATCACTTAAAAAAAATTGAGAGTTGAAACGAATCAAAGGCTGACTTTTAAGGACATTTCAGAAAACGCAACTGTCTCTTAATGTCCATAACTGACCAGTAAAACATTATTTCTAATGAATCTCAAAAATTATACTTGAAGACGCACGGTACTGCACGGAAGAAACGAGTTTGCTTTGTGGTAGGGTAAACTAAAATTTGATAGACGAAGCTGTCGTACTATACACTTTATTACTATAAGAATTGTGTATTCTACTAACAAGAGTATGTCTAATGCCACTACTTTTTTAGCACAAAAATTCACAGAGCAATTCTCGTAAATATAACTGAAATGCAAACGATATATAGAAGTTCTATTGCTATAACATCGCACTATCACATCAATCATGAATTTTTAATAAGTTTTTTCCTTCAAGATCTTTCAAAAATGCTTATTAAAATATTCAATAAATATTGAGCAAATTCGTCATGGAATTAAGAAAATCGCATGCAAACATCCTAAAAGATAAGTTGGTAAGAAAAATGATTAACCGAGTGTAGATAGAATCGGTTTAGAGCAAAAAAATTCGACTATCTTCTACAATTAACAAAATTTCAACTTTTATTTGTTAGAGTAGCAAACATTTGACATTAGAAACAGTAAGAACTTGTACGTGGGGTGGGTCAGCTCATCGGAAGTCATCAACGTTTCAAAGATAAAAATGATCAGAAATTATTTCAGCCGTATTGTGCCTATAGTTTTCCATCGCTAAGTAATCTTGATTATTCACTTTTCAGGGTATTGCTAAAAGACGCGAACACCTACGAACAGCCACAAACACCCCCAAATTAAAATCTGAGTTAGCCAATCGATAGAGCTCGTCGAGCTGGGTATAGCAACGCCTAACGAACACTCAAAAACGTTTTTATAGTTTCGCTTTTTAAGCATACATTTTGAATGAACACCCACGAACACAAAGAACAAGGGGTAAAAATACCCAAAAAAGTGCGCCAAATTCATCTTCAGGTTATTCTGGGCTGAGGGTGTAGTGTGGTGTGGGGGTGAGGTACTGGTAGGCTCACCACATCTCAGAATAACCTGGAGATGAATTTGGTACACTTTTTTGGGTGTTCTTACCCTTTCTTCTTTGTGTTCGTGGGTGTTCATTCAAAATGTATGCTTAAAAAGCGAAACTATAAAAACTTTTTTGGGTGTTCGTTTGACGTTGCTATACCCAGCTCGACGAGCTCTATCGATTGGCTAACTCAGATTTTAATTTGGGGGTGTTCGTGGCTGTTCGTAGGTGTTCGCGTCTTTTAGCAATACCTCATTTTTCATCATATATAATCTTTTATTGAACGTTTTTCATATTTTTGGAAGTCAACGTAAATGAATATTAAAAAAAGAGCAACAGCAGAGATATACCGGCTATGTTATATAGACAAAAGTTAAGAAATGAAAATAGATATATAATACAAAAAGAAAAACAAATCTACAAAACATTTGTCAACAGACAATAGATAAAATACAAGGAAATCAACAATCAATTACAAGCGAGCATATTGCTAAATGTAGCAGCAATAAAAATACAGAAACGGCAATATAGATTTGGCAACACAATATATTAAAACATTTCTCTTAATTATTGACAACATTATCAAATGGAAACTTACTTTGATCACTGTGACAAAGAATTAAACTGAAACAGAAAGAGAAGATAAATTATGATGCCACAAACACACTCGTTCACTATTGGAGTTGGAATATAACATCGTGAATATTTGAATACATTTCGATGCCTTTTAAATAAACTTGATTTAAAAATAAAATACCTAGCGAAGTCTTAGCATTCTCAATTGTTGAGATTTTAACAGTGAAAAGAGATATCCGAGAGATTGTTCTTAGTTTAAGAATAATTTCTTCTATGCTTCGACACTCATCCGTTATTTTGTGCTGTTAATAATTTAGTATTGTATTTTAATTGTTCATCTGTATCTATGTCTAATATAGAAGGTAATTGTTGTTGTTGCTGAATTAAATGACTGAAAGGCTGAATCATTGGCGTTGAGATGGCGGAGTAATATGGTTCATCTTCAAAAGAAGACGAGGAGGAAGTATTTGAGTGATTAGTTTTTGTTAAACAAGATCGACTAGAAGAAAAAGATATTTGCTTGCAAAAATGTTTTGTATCGTTATCTGTTGATTGTGAATTAGAATGACTGTATTGTACTGTTGTCACAGTTGGTTGTTGGGACGAAAGTGTTAATGATGGATTCATACAGAGTGACACCTCGGGGCCAGGAGATGGAAAAATAAGTGAATTCGGTCGTTGTGGCGAATATGCTGTTCTCTCATGAAGTTCAACAGTAGTAGAAAGACAGTGTCTGTCAAAACTAGTCCTTTTATTTTCATCATAATTTACACGACTAGGCGAGTCGGGTGTTGATAATAATGAATTCGACATAATGGGTGTTGTTGTTCTTTCAGTTGAACGAATATATTTTGGCGTCGATGAAATTTGATGAGGTAACGGAAAAGATGTATTCGATAAAACTAATGGTTGAGGCAAATGTCGACCAAAACCTATCGAAGAAATCATTGAAGTAATATTGTATAATGCATGTGATAAATGTTTTTCATGACTCGTAGTTGAATTCGATGAATGTGATGGCGATGAACCTGAAATGAAAACAGAAAATACATATACTAGTTTGCTTATAAAACCAATATGTCATGTCTATCAAGTGCAAAGCAAGAGTTTTTGTTTAGTAATACTAAATGAGTAGATTCACTAATGCATTCACCCAAATGTACCATTATTGTTATTGATTAAATTAAAAGAAAAAACATAACACAATAATAGAAAGAAACAAGTATTCTTGCTTGTAATTGACAAAATCGAAGAATCATACCAAAAGATTGTAGTGTAAACTTCAGAAGAGAATCTTCTTCATTCGATCACAAATCAAAGTGCCTTAAGAGATTAAAAATATACAGCACTTTTTCTTTTCTGCTGTGTATTTTCAGAACTTTTTTCGGTACTAGATGTTGCTTTTTGCCTTTTGAAGTGTATTATTGATGTGAATGTATAAGCAAATCATCTTCGCATAACGAACTAGCTGTGATACGTGCCAAGCCAAAAGAAGAAGTCAATGCAATTTGCTTTATTTTTTGAAGCAAAGATTTCGATCAAAATACTTTATAGGATATTTTTTTAACTTAACTTTTATGAAAAGAATAATTCGTAAACAGATCATGCTGATGGATTTTCCATGTAAATCCAATTCTTAAAGGATTAACTAATAATCAAAACTACTTTTAAGAAATAGAAACTGCAAGAGATTTTGACTACAGAGCACGCACTTAGTTATAAGTAAGACAAAAGTAAAGATAAAAAAGCATGTCTTTTATTAGAAGTATTAATAAAACAAATAGCATACATTTTTTTTGTAAATTTTCATCAGTAATTGGACTCTATAAATAATACGATAAGTTCACGAAGAAAAACAACTAAAGTATATTATTTAGCAGTAGAAAACCGCTAGCAATTCTATACTTACTTTTATTATCATACCGCAAAACTAGAAGAAGATAGTGTATATAAATATCATTAGTTTTTTACGGGATTGATACTTAATCAGAGAAATTTAAAATTTAATTTAATTTTTACCTCGACTTTGCATAGGAACACTAATCGGCTTTAATTGAAGTCCATTTAAACGTTCATGACTTATTGTATTATTGTTATTATTATTGTTCGTATTAAGATCAATTGATGCTGCTGTTGGTCCCGTTCTGTTGTCATGACCACCCGAATAATACCATGTTGGCTCCGTTTTACAAAACCCAAAATTATTCCGTTGTTTTTTTTTCATTGTTGATGATGAGCATGAAGTAGATTTACGATGATATGAACGCCATTTTGGTCGCAATAATGTTGTCGTAGCAGATGATATTGATGATGGATTTGTTGTTGAACGAGATGATTTATTATCTGTAATATGATCGAATAATGGGAAATGAACTAAAAAGAAACACATTGAACGATAATACGAAAACATTTTAGAATTAAAATTCTTGGAAGTTGATTAATTTCAAATTTGTTACTTTCTTTTCAAAAGATCAGTCAATATTCTGAGTTGATAGAAAAAACACGATATATAACCACTTAAATATAGACTAATTTGATTAATCTACAATGAAATTTCCTCTAATATCGCATGCTCATAAATTAATGAGTAAACTTTTAGTATGTTAGTATAAGTATGTCAAAATCGTTCATACTAATATTCATCATTTTTAATTGATTATTTACCATTTTCCCAAGATTGACCGAAATCACTAGAACTTATCTCATGCACAAAAAAAAGAATTGCAAATTTCAAAAGCCAATAACTGAGAAACAAGAGCATTAGTGTCATAAAATACATGTAGAAAAAAAAACGAATCAAAGCGTTTGCAGCAAGTAGGAAAATTTAAACTGTAATAGACTTGATCAGGATTATTCAATAAAGCAGCATGTTTTCATGTAATAAAAAAGCTTTCTCGAATGTGCGCGCATATTTTATATCTTACCATTTGGTGTATTATTCTCAATACAAAACTCAAGCAAAGTTTCACGACTAGCTAAATACAACAGTGTTCTATTCATTACAATAAAGATTCAAAACAAAAGAAACAAATTAATTCGACTTACAGGCAAGTGTTCTTAGACGATTGAGAGTAGGTGTGTTTGGCATGGTGCTATTTGGTGTGTGTGACAGTGAACCATTATTCAATGCTTTTTTCGGTGATGATGATAGTGTGGTCGACGGTAATGTGGTTGTTGATGGACATGATATTGGAGAAGAACTACTCAGAGAAGACGATGGTGGAGTACTCGATGTTGGTGTAAAATTATCAGTATGATCTGCAGATTGAGTTGTTGTGAAATGATGCTTATCTTGATCACGGCAAACAGATATAAGATGACGAAAATCTAAACAATCAACAGTATAATAGTGATCAGAAATAAAGATTGACTACAGAGCATACTTATTGGACTAGATATTTTATTTGTTTGTGATGAATGGGTTGAATTTGTTTGCAATGTTGAAGTAATTAATGCACGCATAAATCGCCCACTACGTTTTTGCGGTTTTGGTGTATGAGGATGGTGATTATGCTCTTGTTGTTTGCCCATACTAAATAAACGGAAATATCTACATGTCAATCCGATTTTGTCTCAACCGTGTTTACATTAATCTCAATTCACACTCAATAACAAATAATTCTCTTTCGTGCAGTTGTTTTTCCCACTTTTGTAATGCAATTTGTAGATGATGTTGTTCAATATCTTTCTTTAATATCAACGACTCTCGGTCACGAATTTCCTAAATAATATTAAATAATATTTATTTAAAAAGAAGTTTAACAAGCAATAAATCAAATTATCTGAAAAATAGCTGAATGTGATTTGCTTCGACAAAAATGGGAAGAAATAGTTATGCAGATAAAACAATCTCTTAGATTCACCATCAAACTTTCTTAAGAAGACGAAATATTTTTAATTGTTAAAAATTTCTGTAGTTAACTAACAACTTTTGACCTTTGAGCGTGAAACTTTCAAGAAATTACCTTCTCTTTTTCTTTTAATTCTTGAAACATTTCGTGTATTTCATTACGCCAATCTTGTTGCATTGTGTGAAATGATTCATTTGTCGGTGACATTTCTGCACTCGATGTTTCATCTTCAATATTATTCAATTGATCAAGAATTTTAGAAAATGACGGTCGATCATCTACTTTTTTTTGCCAACAATCTATAAACAAAAACAAGCATGCTACCAAAATTTTATAAAATATTTTGCAATTTACTAGTTATCAATTGTGCAAAACTATCTGGACATGTTGTTGGAATTGGTAATGTGTATTTATTCATAGCGATACCAAATGCTATTTGTAATTGATCAAAACCACGATAAGGGATTTCACCCGTTAAACATTCCCACACGACAACTCCAAAACTAAAAGATAGTAGAAGATAAAAACAAATGTGATAGAAAGTATAAAACTAACTACCTCCAGACATCTGATTTTGTTGAATATTCTGAGGCACGAATACATTCCGGTGACATCCACGCATACGCTATAACGACATAAAAATGTATAATTTTAAGTACGATCTATAGTTTATCTACGTACTTCCAGCTGCGCTCATGTTTGACGTTTGCAGTTGAATTTGTCTACAGATTTGAAAAAATATATAGTTAAAAACCAAAAATGTGTCATATATAACGCACCTTGCCAGACCAAAATCCGTTATTTTAAGCGTTTTATGTAGTAAATCGTTGTCATCGTGTACGTCGACCGGCTCTGATATCAGAACTAAAATGGTAAATAAAAAAAATTATAAAAGGAAAATAAAAAAATCGTGGAACAACAACTAAGCTCAACTGGTATTTTGTATATGTTCGAATATTGTACAGAAACGTATGCAGAAGTTTTTGCAATATGCATGGTGAACATGAAAGAAAACATATTAAAGCCAAATCTGCTGAGTAAAATTGCTATATCTTTCGTTCTATGTACAAACTGCCGTCCATGCCCGTAATTCGTTACTGATACTGCAAGATTCGCTAACAGACTTGATTTTTTTATAGAAGAATAAATACTTACTATTGCTTGACTTAAGATCTCTATGAATAATATGTTCACATGCTTCTTCGTGTAAATAATTCATTCCAGCCGCTATTTGTTTTGCATATTCAATCCATACACTAGGGTACAGTCCAGCTTTTTTCAGTTGTAATAGCCGATTTAATGCATTTCCATGTGCGTATTCCATAATCAAATACAAATTCCTGGTGGACAAACAGGGATAACTAATACCTAAACATCAATAAACGAAAAAAACACGAATTTGTATTTTCTGAAAATAATAGAAATAATAATTGTTTTACCCATCAGTGAAATAATATTGCGATGTTTTAAATGCCAAAATAATTTTGCTTCGCGTAATAGACTTTCGATAATAGTTTTTTTCAGATCATCATTGTTATTTAAGTTCATTTTTGTTGATGATGAAGATGGATTTGACGACGATGTGGTAGTAGTGGTCTTTTCGATGCATGCAGATGGCAGTGATTTGGCCATTTTGATGGCCACATCCATATTCTGATATTTGCCATGATAAACATGACTAAAAGAGGAAAAAAAACAACAGCTTCCTTAAATAAAGAAATCTCAGTTAGATAAAAGAGAAAAAATGAGTACCCAAATCCACCGGAACCAATAATTTCACCAATAATCAGATCATTAAAATGAATTTCAGGTACAATAATATCATCACCTTGGACTTGTGTCGACATCATCGCCGTTACGGGTGTTGTTACCGCGGTGACAAAATTCGATGGGAAAACACCGATCGAATTACCTATTTTCCCAGTCCACCAGCCTAAAGAGAAACTACGTTAAACTATCGATATATCGAACTGTGACGAAATATCTACCATCTCCTCCAGAAATTTGCGCGTCTTTTGATAACACTTCTAGTTTAACACCGCGTCTGTCAAAAGAAAAAGTTCATAGTCAAATAATAAAAGGATTATAACGTTTTACTTTAATGTTAGTTCATCTTCGTTTTTTGCTTGATAATCGTACACCACTGTAAAGGAATGATTTGGTGTTTTTGTTGTTGAAATCATCATTGTTTCTGGAGTTATCTTCTCGTTAATATTATCATCTTTTACAGGAACCGTTGATGTTGTGGGAGACGCTGATGGTAGAGATGATAACGACGTATCCATAATGATAGTGTTTGTTAAACACATACACGATATGTACAACATAAGTTATGCTTTATTTCAATCATTAGGCAAGGATTTTGTGACAAATCATAATCGGAAAACAACAGATCGTTTAATATTCAGTGAATATCATTATCTGGAAAAAAAGACTCAAACATGTAGGGCCTGTGTATCGACGTTGGTTAACAGAGTGACTAAATTTTGGCCAGTTAACTATGATTATGGACCAATATATATGCAACGTGGACGATTTATACGACACTACAAGTCGATTTCAGTGTTTTTAATCATTAGTTTTTTTTTTGGAAAACCCATTTTGCCTCAAGCGAGAGCAAAATGAGTTTCCACTTTAAATAATGAATTTCCATTCTGTTTTCCACGCTGAGAAAAGTATATCCACTTTGTCTTTTTTTCATATTTTCTACCTCAGAAAAGCAATCCATCGATAACTGTTTGTTGAACAAATGTGAGCGAGAGAACTAGTATAATTTCTCTTTAATCCTCTAATTTTTATCACGATCCGACACCGCTAGTGTCTGATGATTAACATCAGCAGGATATTAGAAAGAAAAAAAGCTGTTCTAGCCGCTATTAGACAAAAATTTTAACTGTTCCCATTTTGTCCATTTTACGTTTCGTATCAAAGTGGAAAAACCGACGCTAATAGCAAAGTGGAAAGTTCCACTCTGGAAAAAATTTCTATTAAAAACACTGAAAGATGATTACGTTCACGAATATGGAGAAATTATTTTTGCCTGCGCAAAGGAGACTTTAGTCGAAAAAATGAAACAAGGCAATAGGCAATATTTCACGAGAATGAGCTCCTGTATAGTCTTAGCGAATTTTCACCAAATTAAACCGCTCACTAGAGATAATATGTTGTGACCACTTTCGGGAGGAGAAAGGCTTCTTGTGGTTCATTTTACTCTGTTTTCTACACCCGCACATCTTTATTAATATTTTGTCTGCTGTTAATATGATACACACGAACTAGAAAAATTTTCAACTCGATAATTTGATTTTAAAATAAGCCAATCAGAGAGTTTTATTCACCATTCCGAATAAACTGAGCCTCCAACGAGAACATCATTGATTCTGATTGTCACATTTAATCATAGACAATCAAAAGACAGCTGTCTGACCGATGACAAAAATGTTTCTGATGCATTTTGAAAAATTAGAATTCTTAGAGAATCTGAGTGTTCGAAAAACGTTTTTTCTAAAGCGTTGGGATTAAATTGAAATGGTTGTAGCGATTGTACCACTGACCAGAATGATTAAACGGTGAAAATCTCTGATTCTGTTCAGCCAAGTTAAACAATTTACAATTTATTTTACTTCTTGGCCACAATATTAATGACACTCGCAACCACCAAGAAGCATCGCTCAGTTGCACTCAGATTTGTCAATTCACCGACCGATGCTTCTGGATGCAGGTAAATGTTTTTCTCGGTGCAACTAGGTAATATTGTCAATATAGCAACATTTGCAAAGAGCAAAACCGTATGGTTTAGCTAAATCAATTTTTTTACTCATTTACCTAAATGCTTTTGCTGGACTATTGGACTATGCTCCAACAAAAGCATCTAGATTTTTTTACGCTAAGCAACTCGTGTTTGACCACAAAAAGTTAAGTTTCTGTATGTTAAAACGGATAGTTTAGAGAAATGTGTCAAAAATCAGTATTTTGTAGTCACCTATACTGTTATAACTTTTGTGATGTCGTGCACATTTTGTATGGATTAAACTAGAAGAACAGTTACGATACCGTTCATCTATGATTCACTCGACCCATTGATCGAAAAAGTTCAGTAGTTTCTATAAGATCCACAACATGTCGCTTATCCACTTTCATAGGCAGATAAATTATCTTTGCGACTACTGCTCTGCTTTTCCCTCTCACTGGTGATAGCAGTATCCTTCATTGGTTGTAATTATTATTTTGAATTTTCAGGAACAAATTAATTCAGCTAACCATTAATGTTCATCTATAAAAAAACATTCCATGCTATGTCTCCGGTTCGATTCAAACTTTTTTAGATTAAAGTTCATCATATGATAAACCCTTTTACCGCTGTCCTAGAAACCAATAACCTATATTCAGGGACGCTGCAAACCACAAGAAACAGGGAGGGGTTCGCCGATTTCGGAGTAAATCGAAAAATTCTATAAATGAGAGTAAATATCTGATTTGTCTAAGTTTTGACATACAAAAGGCTCTGAGGCATAAAACTTCTTTAAATTTAAGAGTAAAACGTACTGGTTCATTGTCATAACCTAGGCAGTTGATTGACAACCTGAGCCACAAATTTTAACTGTGGAAGTAAACTGAACAGACAAAAGTATTTTGATACGAAGAGTCAATCGCTTATACTGTGGAATTTGGGTTGGTGAAAGAGAATAAGAAGAATGCAACCAACGCTTTCAAAATGCGAGTCATAGCAGATTTTCTTGTAAACACAAAAAGAAAATATGTTCGCGTCTGCTCTTAAATCGAGAGTATTAATCATGAGTATCAACGAATCATTATGCAGCACCAAAAAGGTTTTTCACTTCATTTTTAGATGCTGTGATCTTTATCAGCATACATGCCACATGATGCTGATTGTTTATCTCAATTGCAGATAAAAAACTTTACGAATTTGTGAGTAAAAGATTTCAAAAAGCAGGGAGGTGGATTCTCCTCTCTACTCCTGCGTCCCTGCCTATATTTCGTTCTCTTTATCACTGTATGTCATCTCAAGCTAACGAACTTCTTAAGCACAACATCCACAGACCATCTCTCGCTCATTTAAATTATCATCACGATTCTGCTTGTACACTCCCTCCAAATTTTACTTTTGGCTACAACTAGGACTTGTATATTTCTTTTTTCTAAAATAAAATATAAAATAAAATAAAAATTGTATATTTCTTTTTTCTAAAAAGAGTTTTATATGTACATATCTGAAGTGTTTTTAATATATTTTTCCACCTAGTTGAAGAACCATAAAGTATCTTACTGGTTTTTCAAGAAAAAATGAGTTTTTCTATATGATGAAGGAACGAACATATGTAAATAATAATAATAATGATCATCATCATCGTTCGAATAGCTGTTCGTTTAATAATTTTCGTATACTCATGACATAAGAGAAATAAGTACAAATTGTACATTATGAGAATATATTTTCTTATATAATGATGGTTCTTCAAGTATCATCGTTTCTCACTTACACGTACAAGAACAACACTTGTCACTTATTGTTGACCACTTATTTTGTCAATCTATAGATAGATTAAGTGTGTGAGGATAAACGTTGTGCTCCAGTCTATAATTTAATTTTTTGAAAAAATGATTATTAACCCTCAAATTCAAGGTGAGAATATGAAGATTAAATAATATCATCACTGCTTAAAAGTGCAAAAACTTGGCACTTTCACCTCATATGTGAGGAATGCAATAAAATGCATCATTACTCTCCTTTTAATTAAATTGATTCTTTATCATCAAAAGACACCTGTCGTTAATGAAGTATTAGCATAACATACATTTTTTTTCTAAAATACAACGATTACTCTTATGTAAAGATGAATGCTATTGTTATTCATATTTGTATCCGGTTGCCGTTTGTTCTTGATCACAATTCAACAGAGATCAAATCGTGAAATAATTTATTTGTTTTTCTATGCATGGTGATAGAAAAACACGCTGTGATGATAAAATATACGCACAGCACGTATTAGCAAAATAAAACTCACATAAACTCATTTCGACTTCGTTTCTGATCCTGTGTAGGAAAAACCCGGTAATTTGATAAGGTAGAGGAAATTACACCTACAAAGAAACACGATGGTGAAGTAAATTCAAACTCACAACCTAACCGATTCGTATTGTGAAGATAATTTTTTCACAAATGTTTCTTCAATTATACCTTTAGATGTTAACTTGAAAGTAAAATGTTGACGAAAGTAAACACCTTGAGGAAAAAAAGACATTTCTCATCTTTTCTTGCTCTTACAAAAAGTCAATTTCATTGCTTGCTCTTGCGTTCGTATATGATGTTACTGATATCCATCTCCTGTATGGTGTTAAAAAACAGTCTTAAGCTCGTGGAATCTTAAGAGAATAGTTATTTCTCTTCATATCAAACAAATAAATATATTCAAGAGTTGCCTTTCAAGAACGTGTCAAGAAGAAACTGATCAGCACACTTTTGTCGCCTAAGAATGGCTTTGATTTCAAAACGACTATTGTCATATTTGTTTTTATATAAGAGAGAGAGACTAGAAAAACCTATAACAATAATATATGCACAACTTTTAAACACAGAATAAACGTATTACCAAGGTCGCCAAACATCCACAGACGATGCATTTGGACTTTTGGGAACAACACGCGATAGTTCATCTTGTAGTGAATTATCTGAGTCAGTCAGACATGACGAATCTAATCTTTCAGTTTTAAATAAATCACTTGATGATGACGATGTTGACGTGGACATTGTTGAATAAGATGGTGATGAGACTAATTTTGTTTCTTGAATACCACCGCAGCGATTTAACCAGTCATTTACGACCATTTCATGTGATAATTGTGGAAAATGATTTGTTGTTGCAGAATGTTGGTTATGTTGATGTTGTTCATATGGACTAAAACGATGTGATGTAGTTGTTCGCAACTGAGTAACTAATCGTTGTCGTTGAATCGGTGTCATACCGGGGACAGTATTCAAAAAATTTGAAATTTCATTTGTACAACGTTGATAACCCAATTCATAATTTCGTTTCATTCCATTTAGGCGGCCGTTAATTTGTTTGAGAAAATCAACGCACATTTCTAATATTTCAGCCTTTTCTAATTTTTGATATCGTGCTCGCTAAAGAAAGCAATATAAAAGATAATATAGAATTGTAGTTTGGTTAACAAAGTTTGTAGTATACTTACATCGTAATTACAAGCTAATAAATCTTTCAATTCATCTAAACTACGATTTATACGATCACGACGTTTTTTCTCAACATACGTTTTGGCAACCTAGAACAGAGAAAATAAATTAGATGGCTTTTAACTACGGTTTTTATATATTTGACAATTATTTCAGTTTAATGTTCTTTTATTAGAATATTTTGTGTATGTTAACGGAGGATAAACGGGAACGTGTGAAGTTCCTCTATTTTCGATTTCTAGGTGAGCATAAGAGTATCAAAACTTTTGACAACCTCTACACTATGTAGTACGAAAACGTCATTTACGAAAGTTACGACTACTAAAATAGTTTTTCTTTGTTCATGTTAGCGATTTTACAATAGTGAGCTTAAGTAATAATTTGAGAAAATGAAGAGTGAACATAAACAAAACAAAGTGAGCTTCAACGAATTAAATTAAAAATCAAAAACTATCTTGAATCATATTACAAAATGACATTGGCTTACCTTTCGTGTGCCATTCATATTCAGCTCATCTTCGAGATCACTGCTACTAGTATAGAGAGTCATAACCATAATGCTTGTATGTTTTGTAAAGATATGTTCAATTTTAATAATTGTTTTGTGTACTAACTCTGTTAGCCTGTTAGCCGTTTTAAATATAAATGTTTCAATGATGAACTTGTGTATGTTCAATTTGTACTCTCAGTTTATTCTCTTCTCTCATTTCATTTCTATTGGTTCATATTGAAAATGAACAAACTTTTAACCAATTATTTTTCTATTTGTTTTCGAAATGTCGTTGAACTTTTTTTCTTCTTTTATAATCTATATATTCTGTAAACTATTTAGTTCTTTCTCTTTTAGGTAAGATATGCGAAAATATAGGTGTGATGATCGTTGAACTAAACCAGCTTTTCTTTCTTTCTTCTGATTCTATGAGAATATCGTCTACTTTCCCACCAACATCAAAAGAACACGATGGCGTGTACCGTCACATACGCAAATCATAAAAAAAACAAAAATGGTAATATATATATACACGTGTATAAATGATAAATCATTATTCAATTTTTTTATCGTCTTTAGTCATTTTTTTTATCTATGTAGACGTACCAAAATAGATGTATATAGAATTGAAGATGAACGGATAAAATTATTGACTTGTCAACAAACCGGCATGAGAAAATTCTTGCATACAGCAATAAACCACATTATTAAAAGATACCCCACGCACTATACCGTATGAGAAAAAATGTGGATTTGTTTCAGCATCTAGCGTGCGTGCAATAAGAGGATTGAGATTTGTCAAATCATTATAATCAATGCGAAGTTATGTGAAATGAGGAATATTCCTGAAATCACATAAAATTAACAAACAGGAAAGTAGAAAGTGTGGAAAATTAAAATTTGACTAAAAGTTGTAACCTTTCTCGCGATTGTCTAAACTATAAAGATATAAAGTTCTCTTAATATATAATACTCTTTTCTTTCACAGAAGGTGAAATATAGTTTATTTAGAAAATATAATTTATTATTATATACTTCAGATATTCATCGCGGTTCACAATAAATGACCGATTAAAATCCCGCCCTATAAGTAGACACTCGACATTCTAAACTAAAAAACACATACCGACGCGAATGTTGTATACTTACTACTCATACATATAGGTCGGAATTTTACAAAGACAATATACTCTAACAAGTGTTTGTTAGATTCATTCAACTATGTATTGTTGATAAGTTAGCATAAAAGAGTATGCTTACTCGATAAGAAAATCTCTACACATAAAAATCGACTTCCTTTCCCACCTCGATAGATGAATGAATGAATGAATAGAAGAAAAAAAATCAGGTTCATATTGAAAAAATATGTGTATCGAAAAGAAAAGAGAGAATAAAATGCCGCCAACTAAATGAATTTGATTTATAATTTTTAAAGTGTCAATTCTCTAATTGAGTTATGATGCTAAAACTGATTTAATTTGTAAAAATAGTAGAGTAGAGTAGAGTATTATTACATTTCCGTAGAAACTATATAGAAAGATCAAAACATCTATACATACACACCCACACAATACAAAGATAGATTATTCTGAGAATCTATAAACAAAACATCAATTTCTATTACAAATAAAATAAAATAACCTCATTTCAAGTTCTCTCCCAGATGTAAGCTTCAAAACATGTGTATTTTTTCTTCAATATTCATTCATTAATGAAATTAAAGTCAATTGATAGTATTTCAACGGTGATTATTAATGACATCGTTATACCGACAATTGTTTTCAAAATAAAAATAAATTATTCAATGTAGAACATGAAGCAGTTGTGTGACGATAATCATTCAAAAGATTTAACAAAACCATTATCTTTTTTTGCAAAACTTCTATGATTTAACACTTTTTTTATATATATTTTAGACGTTTAACTCAAATATTATTGAGAATGAAAAAATGTCAGTTGACACGAGTGATTATTTTTGTTTGTCTTGGTATGGCTTATTCAAATACCATGTACCAACGATTCATTGTAGATAGAATACAAAATTAGCAGCTTCTGTTGTCGAAGAAAATTTTTTGTTTTTGTCATCATCGACGAGAATAATATACCTTTTTTGACAGTTAAATTTTTCTTTCCTTCATAATAAAGATCAAGATCAGAGAGCGAGCAAGTGACTTGTGTCATATTCTTTCTTCATTTTATGATAAGATAAGAAAAGAAAAGAGAATAAATCACATCAGACATATAATAATGAGAGAAAAGACCGATTGTCAACAATATGCTGACTAAATTTTCTTATTACTGCGTATGAATTAATTAGAGTACGCTTTGTGTTGTTTGATACGTTTTCAAAGGACTATATCACAATATGCAACAACAATACATTCAGGTGATAATTGAAACGTCCAAAACAAACTATGTAAGCAAGCATGACAAAGAGAGAGAATATTGTTTTAATTAGACATGTGACACTTTAATTTATTGAGTAAACTATAGAATTTCAGCTATTGTTCAGTATATTTTTGCGGAACTTTTGATTTTAATACTTGTGTAAAAAGTCCTGTATTTTAATAAACTCTTGGTACTTTTAATAACAAAGCTTTGTTAGGATTTCTAACAGATGAGATTAGATAGTTAGCTGTTTTCAATGAATGGTATAAATAGTAGTAAATCACTTTTAATTCTAATTTTAAAGTATAATTGTATTGTTCATTCTTTTCTTTTTCTTCTAAACATAATTTCAAATATTTATTATAAATCACTGACAGTGGCTATTGCTGATGGCATCTAATCCTGTATATGTGATTATGATTACATTAATACCATAAATTATTCTAAACGATGACATATTGTAAATACTAATTTATGAATTTTTCTCTATCAAAACATACACGCACACAGGTAAAAAACAAATGATGATATTAACAATTAAAAATATAGACATTTTTATGTATTCAACAAAATTGAACAGGATAATAATAATAATAATAATGATGATGATGATGATAAGTTAAATTGTGGGTAAGAAAGATTGTCAACATTGACTTGTTTTATTTGACATGTTGTTTCCATAAAATAGAATAATATCAGAAATTTTTGGAATGTTAAAAATACATTCTATGGTCACACTATTAGACACTTTAAGTTTCAATCATGCACATCATAATCTAATATTGTATTATTAAAAATAGATCACATTTATTAGATTTTACAATGAATATATTATTAGAGCGTAAAACATTTTAAAAAATGTTTATATCTAATTTATGGCTGATTAAACAGTATTGCTAATTATTTTTCTCAAAATAATATTTTGGATCATCTCACACATTTAATAACCAATTGATAATCTAACAAACGAGAGGATAACTTAACAAAAAGGGTTCTACATCGTCTTGTTTTCTCTAATCATTTTTACTTTTAATTTAACTATCGTCAAGTATCTCTAATCCATCTGATGTAAAAAAAAACCTAAAAGAGAGAGCAAAGTTGTTCATATTTTTGTTTTGTATGAGTAAAAAGTCACGAAATTTAAAATCATATGTCCGTAAATTATCAAGTATTACTAAATCTTTTAGAAGAAAAAGAATTTCTTCATGTCTATGAGAAATGAATTCGTTTGTAAATACACATCATTACACACACATACACATTCATTTTTTCTCTCTCTCTCTTTAGAACAATTGTTAACCAACTGATAAATGGTATTAACAAACTCTTGACACTCTATAGAGAGGTGTTTCTTAAACTATTAGATTCTTGTTTGATCCTATTTTATGCCGCTAGATATTTAAACAAAATACATAATATCGAAGATCTTCGTGTGTACAATAATTAAGAATGACTTACGTCTTCATTCAGCTACTTTCAGGCAAAATATTATCAACAATGTAAAAAGAGGCGAAAGAAAAACATCAACAAAAATTGATTTTAAACAAAGATAGAAAGAGAAAGAAATAATCGACTCAAAATAAATAAAACAATTTTTATTTCCTCTAGAACAAAAATCTACCAATTTATCTTTAGAAGAAATGAAATGAAAGATATGTTGTAAAAACTTTGAGTTATTATAAAATATTAGAAGAATATTTTATTTAAAATGTAACAGATTCATATAGCAATTCATCACTTGATCTTGCCTATATGATGGATCAAGTATATTATTAAGTAGCATAATATTGTTATGAGAAGAAGCGGAACGAATGATGATGTGAAACACGCTGAATGAAAAATGACGTATATATATCTCGTGATGAGATATTTTTTATGTATAACATTTTTTATTTGATGATTAGCCTATATATTTATGATCACTAGCAAGATATGTCAATATTTTATTTGTCTTTTTGATGATATAATAATCTTGTGACTTTCATCATGTTAGGGATATACACAATTGAAAAACTAAAGTTATATAGTGACTTTATTATATAATGTCTATAATCAAAATCTAATTTCTTTTTTTTTTTCTTTTTTCTTTCTTAAACATGAATAACAAAACATCAAAGTCAATCTCATAACTCATCTTCTTCAAATTATTATATTGTGTATATAGACTGTATTTCAAATAGATAAGAAATACAATAGTTTACATCATCTTAGGAAACATCGAACAATGTGAAAAAAGAGAAAGACTTGATGTCTTGACTTTTTACACAATAGTACTACGAATATGTTCAAACGAATCATAAACTATATGTTCTAGAGAGAAAAAAAACAAAACAATTGAAAAACTTAAATCAAAAATTACATGTCATTTACTAAGAATACCGAATATAAATCCAGTTCGGGTTTTTTTTGTTTTCTTTTTTGAATGGTAATAAGAAATAAAAAAAAATGGCCCATAAAAACACTATTATAATGTCATTTAGTCGTTCTTTTGTGTTTTACCTTTTTAAAAAATCTATAGAAAATTTACATAGAAATACATTTTGACAGTGAACAGTATTCTTTTTTTTTTTTGAATCCCGTTTTATACGATAGATTATTCAATGAGATTTTAAACAATAATAGTCTTCTATTTATTGTCTGACATACTGTTTCTATCATGAAGACAATACGAAACAACATCTAAATAGCGATACGTTTCTTTATCAAAAATACATCGTAATCAGTTCTTATAATAGACTCTAAAATTTTTAATAAACCATTTAAGACCTATCATCGATACCAGTCGACAAATATAAGTATATATTGAAAACTCTTCAATACATACTTTTTTACATAGACTTTATTGATCAGACAAATATATTTTCTTTATGCATTTTGATGAACAACTTTCTGTGTCAAAAACTTAAATGACTTCTCTGTATTTCTGATTAAAATCATCAATTTCACAATTAACTAAACAAGCAATATATTTTTCTAATATTATACACGTACGTATGTACAGGTATATGTGTGGATAATTTTGTCATTTTCGAAGATGAGTTCTTGACACTTATTAAAAATAAAAAAAAATCAGATGTCATTTTTTTCCTCACCTAACGCTAATGGGTAAGTTTAAAAGCGTAACTAAAAATAAATACAAAAAAAAAAAAAAATTATGTTATCTCAATATTCATACATACATCAACCCAAAGGCATCATCTAAAGTGCATTGATTAACTAAGATTTGTTAAGTGAGCTATTATCGGTTAGTTGGTCAATAACTCAAAGTTTTGTCTAAGTTTTTTCTCATAGTGTATATTGGTTAAGAAATGATGGTAAATGATGTAAGAACTATGATTGTGTGAGTACTTACTCCATAACTAGACACTTTCCCACGACTATATGATGATCATCACCATCGTGATTGATAAAGAAAGAAACAATTATCTGAAATGTGCTAGACGATAAAAAGTTTATTTAAGATCAAATCTGTTTGTCTATCCAAGGATTAATATAAACAAACACAGTATAGTTGTCACCATCATTGAGATTTTATTTATATCCTTTTTACAAAGACTTATGACATCATATTCTAATGAAAATCACGTAAAATGAAGCAAACGATTGAATCAAATATGAAATATGTTCTGAAATGATTAAGGAAAAAGAAATAATTGTATAATTTATCCTTTCTCTTGTGAGATGTTTGTATAGCTTTCCTAATACTATGAAGGATCTATTAACAAATGTTATCGACACGTTGTTCTTTACTTTTGTATTTATAATTTATTTTGAACAAATGGTTATATATTTAAAATTATAGCAAAACACAAACAAACAAATAGAGAAGAAAAGCACCAGTCTATCATTCACTGTTATCGGGAACAACAATTATGTACAAATAAACCATTTTGGAATGTTTCATAGTGGAATCTACAGTAGTCAACTGATAGTATGAATGTCTGTATACACACCGTTAGTGAGATTAGCTTTTTTTCCTTTAAGCGTATGGTCGCCAAATACTTCGAATTTTTTGTTCATGATTTGAACCACAACTACCAAGTGAAGATGATGACGTTGAACAAATACTTGAATCGACATGAGACGAAATAGATGGTGAAACATTAGTCGATGATGATAATATTAAGGTAGTAGGAATGGACGATGAATTATTATTAATAACAAGTTCTAATGGTCTTATAGGAGAAAGTTTTTGCTGTTCATGTATTTTATTTGTTGTTAACATCATTGAATGTGATGATTCATTTATGTGATGTGGTAGTTGATGTAACTGATTTGTCTGATGAGTCGTTCTCGCATAAGGATGTGTACGTCTAACCCACATTTGTCGACAACGATTTGCTAAACGTTCACGTTGTTCAGGCACAATATTTGGTACTGCATTGATAAGTTTCCAAATTTCTTCTGTACATTGACGATAACCATTTTCATAATCTTCCATTGATATGTGTACAACACGTTTCAAATTTCTTACATAATTAACGGCCATTTCTAAAATCTCTGCTTTTTCAAGTTTTTGATATCGAGCACGCTAAAATAAAGAATCTCTATTAGAATTTCAAAATTAATATATTATACAAGACATTATTTACCTCGTCCGTCAATGCCATCAATTCTTTTAATTCATCCAAACTTTTATTAATACGATCTCGACGTTTTTTTTCTACGCATGTTTTTGCCAACTAAAAACAGCCAACAAATTTTATCATAAAGTCTGATATAGGAAAAAAAACATTTGTTAATAAAATTTCTCCTCTTACATCACAAAAGCACTTTTTGTTTAATCTTCCCTCAAGATTAATCACAACAGTAGAGAAAAATCATTTCTCTTAAATTGTTCACTATATTATCGATTAGTTTAGGAAAGATAGTATTACTAACAAAAGTCTAAATATAGTATTCGATTAAACTTTCTTTACGATAAGTCCCATAATACTTTAGAAATGAACATTTGAAACTTACTTTTCTTGAACTTTGCTCCAACGAATAGGGTGATGTATTCGAATAATCACATGCTAACATCATTTTCAATCTTCTTCGAAAATAAATATTTTTGTACGCAAAATATTTTGAATGTATTTTAAAAAGCGTATGTTTTATACAAGTGTTGATATAAAAAAATGAATATAAAATATCTTTTTTAAACAGTAAATATATATTCAATTATAATATAAATCGCACATGTAAATAGGCAAAAGTTAGTCGTGTGTAACAAATTTTAGTGGAACGATGACACACACATACTGTTACCCGTCTCTTCTAATGGTGATTTAATGAAGATTTGAATTTTTTTCTCGTTTATAATCGACTCTCTGAAAAGAAAGGAAAAAAAAGAGTATTTGGATTGGATAAAACTTTTCATTATTATTTCTCTTCTTACTTTAAAAAGCGAGAAGAAGAAAAAAAATCTGACGCGTGCTGGATATCTATTTATAAAGATTCTTTCTCCACGCATATTGTACGCAATGTTAAAGACAAGTTGATAGATAGGTAGATGGAAATGAAAAAAAAAAACTAATACAAGAAGTATCGAAATGCATGATTTGTAGGTGAAAGTAACAGATATTACACAAGAGAAAAGAAAAAAAAAGAAAATGGGCAAATAGAATATGTGTGTTCTATCGGAACGTTTTTCTATTGACAAGCAATAGAGAAAGAGAGAGAGAGAGAAAAGGAACGTATGTATTTTATATACACGCGTTGGCAAGCGTAACTATTAAAATTTTATTTGCCATATTCGAAATATATTCATATGGAGACCAATAATAATGTCTATTTTGGAAGAATTGAATAGTTAACCCATTGGAGGATAAAACAATCGAGTAGTAAGGACTCTTAGACAGTAAATATTCTTTTTCAATAATTATCAAAATGAAATGAGATGAATATATAAAAATTTACAGTAATTTTTCTCTCAGCTAGGGGAGCAGAGAGTATGGCCACAAATTTCGCAATAAACTTCTAGTTTTTTCAAAAATCGGGGTACAGTACAGGATGTTTACTCTAGAATTCGGAGTAAAAAGTTTAAAATCCAGTAGAAGCACTCCTACTTTCAGATGTTTCTTTTCATTAGAGTCTGTAACATGTGTTTACTGATATAAATGAAAATCTTTATCAATCTGACAGACTTTGTTTAGATGTATGTAGAGAGACAGATTGTTTTATCCGCTACAAAATCTATCGCCAGTTTACCATAAAGATTACTGTAACACTCAACAATTATATTCTATAATGGAGGATTGTTGTTTAGGAGATTTGAATCGTTTAATTTTTCTACTAGTGTTGGGAAAACGTTAATTTCTCAAATCGGTTTCTAAACCTTTTTCAATTCGTTTTTTGTTTTTTTCGAAAGTCTGTAAACATTCTTTTTATGCAGTATAAAAATAAGTCTGTGTTTTGAAAACAAAAATTAATGAAAAATTCAAACATGAAATGAACGTTCATTTGAGCATTTTAATTCAATTTTCTATTTGATCTTTAATCTGCTTCTCTGAAATGCTTCATTAGACTAAGATAGTGTCTCTCTTTTTTTTCTCTATATATAGCGTGTGAACGTTTTCTATTAATCATTCGCGAAGAACGTAATCGCATCTCTTCTCACCATAGTTATACACTCAAGGCGTGGAAATCATATTTGGTTATCCACGTGCTTTTGTCTAACAACAAAGATGTCCGACTTTCTTTATACGAAATTGTTTTGAATGCAATGACGACGAAATATTGACTTCATGTGACATTTCTCTTTTATTTACACAATTGATTGTCAATAATCAAAATCATTATTCCGAATATTTTCCCATACATATGCGGTCCACCGTTTGAAGTTATGTATAGTGTACAAACTTTTCTTTCTATCTTAATTTACTGCATCTGTTTTCTCATAATGTTCATTGCACTCTACATATATCTATCTATCAATTATTCGAGAAACAAACATTTTTATTGTGTCAATATGTAAATATCTAATTAAAACAATTTGATGGTGATGAGTAATAAATACAAAAGAAGAAAAAAATTTTATATTTATTTCTTAAAAAGAAAAATAGAAAAAAATTTTATATCTCTAAAAAAAATTAAAAGGTGTCTATAACTGAAAGTATTTTTGTCCTTGAGAGATGAACTAGGGATGTAACTCTATCAAATTTATTTTATCGTCTGAAAGAATATATATTGTACTAAACAGAGAACATAGACACGCATAATAGTGTCTTGTCCTTCACATTTAGCAAGTGGGGCATTATTTGACTTTTAGTCTGTTGTCACACTCACAGTATATGTATTATTTTTAGCTTTTTTTTTTATTTTATTTTACTCAAAGAAAAACAGTAAAATTTGTTTAATGTAAAAAATTTCATGTAAACAATTGAGAAATCATTCGTCCCTATAACTTTGCAATAGTTTTATTTTTCAAATAATCAAGTAAATATGATAGAAATGGAAACCAATAAAATTCACTCTACATCGCCACTCGATGATACACTTGAAATTATTTATTTTTTCATTACTCTAATAATTATTATTATTGATAGTCTGCTGATTGTCTTCAGGAAGATATAGAAATTTTTGTAAGAAAAGTTCATAAGTTTTATTTTCTTTAAAGAAAACTGAAAAAGAAAATAACGAAAAACGAAGTAGTAGAACGTAATGGATTGTCGTTTTCTTTTTTGACAAAACAACATACATACACAAATATTTACAACAAGGACAGTCGTATCGTAATACTACTGATTTTTAAAGCTGTTATCAAAAGCACGTTAGACATCAGTCATTTTTATTTATTTCTATTACATATTTCTCATATTAACTAAACAAAATACTTGTACAAATTTAAGAGAAAAATATTCTAATTCATCTTTTTTATGATATTTCTATTTATCAGTGTGTAATGTACACTATACAATGATTATTTTCTTGATAAAGTTTTAATTGTGTTTCAATATGTGTGTGCTCTTTTTTCCCGTTATCATTATCCACGCAATAAATTCTTGACTTTAGGTCAATTAGCGATGATTATCATTCTTTTCTCTTTTTTTTTGTTTTTTTTTTTTGTTTGTCTATCATCTTCTCTTTGGGACAACTTTCTTGTGAGTAACATCAGTCAAATAACGATGAAATGAGTAAAAATGCTGTAAGCATCTCGCATATTGAACTTATTCATTCGTGCACTACAAACATTAGATTGGAAAGATAATAAAAAACATATACCTAACCGTATACAAAGAATAGTAAAGGTTTGTTTAACGGTAAAATTATACAAGGCGTTTTTTGTTCTTTAGAGACATTAAAACTACTCATTTAACTACTCACTGCAAATTAAATAGTATTTCATAAACGAAATAATATGAACAAAAAATCGAATAAAATGTATCACTTTTATTTGATTATTTTAAAGTTTACAACTAAAAGTAACAGTCAAACATTTGTCATATTAAGATACCTATATATATTTAACAATTTTTTATTAGATATATATTTTGTTTCATTCTCTATTCCAATTTGTTATAATACAATTCATTGTTTATTTGCTATTTTACCCAAGAACAAAACAAAAAGGTTGCTTGCTTGATTCCAGCTAAATTCTAAGTATTCCTCGTATACACATAACACGTAAGGACAGTAATTTTTTGTCAATAAAAAGACAATATAATATATCTAATGTTTTCACATAATTTGTGTGTGTGCATAGTCGGTCATTTGTTTGTTCTTGTCGCTTACTACATGATTCCAATTACTGAAAAAAAAAAGAAAAAACTATTTTCTATGGATTCCGAATGTGTCTACTTGGTTGACGTATGCTTACACGTGGTATATTCTTTGTTTTTTTGATGAAAAAATATAAGCAAAGTTTTTGATACGTTGTTAAAGTATTTAAAAAATTTTTTTTTTCTTTCTCAAATGACAAAATGAATGAAAAATATAGAAATATTGATAAAATATTATCCTTTATTTTGTATCTTTTACCCATTTATTATAATGAACACTCACTAGGAAAAGTGAATGAAAGGCTTCATATAATAAGGTGATGATGTACAAGTTCTGCCACAAGAAGAATACATAGTTAGAGTGAAATTAGACGATATTTTTTCGTTAGTTTAGTACTACCACATTCACACGTCATTCATATAGTTTACTAAATTTATTAAACAATAAAATAAGTACAAGTGAGTATTCTATATAATGACAAAAAACCGTCATTCAACTACTTTTATTCAGACCCAGTTTGTCTAATTTCTTTTTAACCCATTCCATTCGATCATTTCCCCAAAATGGCTCACCTCTTATAATCAACATGGGTACGCCAAAAACATTATCCTGCTCTGCTTCTTTAGCCGCAAGAGAAAAATCTATTCGTCCTTTATGTTCTACATAATGACGAAAATCATTGTCATTATGTAATCCAACTTCATTTAAAATTTTTATGAGCTCATCAATATTTTCAATGTCAAGTTCACGTTTGAAAAACCGCTCAAATACTAATTTTGAATAATCAACAAAAACATTATTTTGATCAGCATATAAACCTGATATTAGTGATAAATATGAATTGAAAAATTTTTTTGGTCCACGAATAATTAATCCACGTTCATTAGCAAAACGTCTTGCATCAATGTAAAGATATCGAACTTTTGCCCAATCTCGTTCACTACGCTCTTCTAGTTTACCACCAAACGATCTAAAATATTAATAGTTTTCTTTTAATAATAAAATCTATTAAATCAAATAATAAAAATACTATACTCTTTGTATACTAATTAATGTATTAGTTCCACTGTGTATGATTAAATCTAGTTTTATTAAACATGAAAGATTCTTACTTCGCAGAAAATGGATATGGAAGAAAACGATATTTTATACGATAAAATTTTTCAAGTTCAATGGTCGGTACGAACGACAAATAGGTAAATGGTGATTTATAATCATAATAATATTTAATTTCTTCGTAAACATTGGATGATGAAAGCCGTTTAAAATATTTTGACAAACCTGTGCTACATGAAGAAAAAAATACTAGACTACTATTACGAAAAAGCATTGCTGTAGATTCACATCTAGAAATAGAAAATAATAACACTAACTTATCCATCGTAGAATGCTGTTTTAATTTATTGCTAAAAAGGGGGATTGACAGCTCGAAATCGTACAGAACGCAAGAAAAATTGTCAGTTCCGCTGGAGAAAAACGAAAATTTTCCTACTACCAAAAGAAATTACAGAATTTACGATCTATGTTTTCTTTTAAAGATTTAATATCGCTATTAGAGCTTGTTACAAATTTATCAGGTACAAAATAACCCAGGTGGACAAATCTTGGATAACAGCTTGCAAAGTCTTATCATATCCTCATCGGATCTTCTGAGAAATGTTTGCAAGATTCTTGCGTAGATTTTGCAAGATTCTTGCGTAGATTTCGCAAGATCTTACGAAATTTTACGATAAGAACTTGTATGAAATTTACAAGATCTACGTTTTTCAGCAAAGATGCTATTGTTTTAAAAGTTTTCTTGAAAAGTTTCCTTGAATTATAATATTTTCCTCTGACGGACGTCAGAGCAAACGGGTATGTTCTGTATCTTGGCTTCCCCTATTTTTCCTTCGAATGATAATTTCTAGCACAGATACGATTCTATTTGATATCCAAGGATCATGTTTAGTCGCATTTCTGAGCCATGTACTCTATCTCATGCTCAGAAGTTTTGTCTGTTTTTTATTTTGCCAACAAATTGATATTACAAAAAGGATTAACAATAGACATCAAAGACTCTTTTTCTTTTTAGATAAAAAGCAAAGAGAAGAGTGGTGAAGAGAAGCAGCGTTCTCGTCCAATTGCTTGAACCCACCACACGCATGTGCTGTATTGTACGTTATAACATAGTGATTATACTATCAAACGGATGATCCGAGGCACTAGGATACACAGAACTTATTCAAGATTATTACTTGCAGCGTTTCGATTCGATGGGGGAATTTTCCCACCTTGTTTGAAATGAATTACTCACTTGAGAAAAAAAATTATTCAGTTCATAAAAATATTAGCTCACTCAAAAACTTTTTAGAGTTGCTCAATAAAACTTCTCCCACCTTGCCAAAGTTATATCGAAAACGCTAATTACTCGACTTGTAGGCGCCCAGGTTCAAGCACAGTACCTTTAACTATGTAACGAACATGACTACCAAGCCGTACTATTCCAGTACTATATAGTGGCAAAGTTTACATTATACCGTATTTTATGTTTGAGAGTTGCCTGTCTCAATGCTTTGCATAATTTTCCAACTTATTTGATCATTAGAATTGTATAAAGAGAGATTTTATACGATTTTGTGGAGAATTCAATGAGGAATCTCTTAAAGAGGAAATTAAATCTAAGCTTTGCAAGACAGAAAAAAGGTATTCAAGAAATACGCAGAGGCTCATTTATTTTGAACTAACCGTTACAAAAAGATTTTATTTGTTGTTGTATGGTTGCTAAATGTTTTGTCGAGAAATTTAAACATGATATACCGATGACTATTGCAAAATCTCACGAAACTATACACCTTCTTACAGTGGCTCAAAAAATTATTCATACACCTATACCGTATAGGTGGATGAATAATTTTTCGAGCCACAAATGTTTTGTGTGCCATTTCAAAACGAAATAAGATAGAGCAAACGTCATCGTGTAGAACATCATCGATAGTCTATATGCAAGTACTTTTAAGGTTTTGATTTTCTTTTTACACTACAGATGATGCTCTACACGATGACGTTTGCTCGAGCACTCTGTCTTATTTCGTTTTGAAATGGCACACAACAAAGTCATACTGTATATGTGGGTGAATAATTTTTCGAGCTACTGCATCTTATGATCCTACAAGATCTAATCAGTTTCTACACGAAGGCTCAAGAGTTTACAAGGTCTTATCGCAGGGTGCTGTAAACAAAAATAAAACCTTGTAAGATCTTGCATGATGTGCGACCTAAGTCTTCCGGGCATTTACCAAAAAACCTAAGGCTTAACCTTCCGGTTCACTTGTAAGGTTTATACTGATTTAATTATATTTTACGTTTTTCGACTTAAGTTTACCTTAAATCGGAGTTTACTTTAGTGTTATTTAGACTTAACTTAGGTTAGATTGAGAAACAGCCTAAGATATGTCTTGAATAAGAACAGTCAAAATCTTTTGAGAAATACATTCTTCAATCTTTTATATAATCCGTGTTTCTTGTGCGATATGGATGATGACTCATTTAAATACGATTGGAAAGCTCTAGCCAATAAACTATTTGATCAGGTGATAACGAACGGTAATGGTGGTGACATCATTTCTTGATAAAAAGAAGATGGCACTTCTACAGATTGATCACACCCTCTACTGTATGTATGTATGTATGTATGTATGAGAATGAGAGTGAGGGAATGCTGAATCTATAAAGTAGTTTTATTAAAAGGTTGAATTTGATAAGAATTCGTTGCATTCCATTCATCAGCGTAGTTTTAATAGTCATTTCTTTTGGTATGAGGTCATACGCGAAAACGTTACTTAAAGTTTGTTGATAAATACCATCCATGACAACCTTGGCTGATGTGTGCTACATTCGTACCAGTGATGGTATTTGGTACTTAATTACTAATTAGTTATATGAAACTAAAAAGATGGACCAATAGATCTTCAGGGAGTCTTCAGGGATTTTTAGGAGGAGTCCCTGGAGACCTTCTTGGGGCGTGCTAATTAGGAAATGTATCCGCCTGTGAATGGTAATTCAATTAATTTGAATCCTCAGAAATCGATGTTTTTGATAAAAAAAAGAAATTGAATTTCTTGCTTGGTTGGTTATGCTGAAATCTCTTTTAGAATCCATGCTATTTTTCACAAAAAAGTTAGTTTTTCGTGGATTTTTGAGAGGTTTTAGATTAAAGCTTAGATCTACCACTACTATCATCATCAAACTTGTTTAACGCTTTTCTCAGAACATGGTTTTGGAGCAGTAAACTTGCTACTCCTCTAACATACCGCATGTTTAGATTTTTTCTACGTTTAATTCAACATATGCAGAGGCCGGCTTATATATTCACGATACATAGCACTTGCTGAGAACTTCAAAAATGAAGCATGAAACAACCCTAGTTAATGTACTTGATTACTTGATGAGTACTTGGGAAGTACGTGACAAGTTAGGCACATGGCGAGTACTTCAACAAGAACTTGCCAAGTGTCGTTACTTGACTCGCTTCAGCCAAGTAGTTGGACAAGCCAATCACCCTTTTGTTTTGCATTGATCAGTTGACACCACAATATGAATCGTTATACACTCATAAAATAAACTTATATATTTCTACTGAGTTGAACAAACTTCGTAGCCGTGCATGTATTTGCGATACAAACGTAGAGTATGGCTGCATAATACGTAGAAAATACAAAATGAAGATAAATGGAATAAGTATTTGACTAAGCTTTTGAAGTAACTTTACTTGCGTTCTGTCAGCCAAGTACTACATCTCAAGCACTTAACAAGTAAATTTACCTGTTGGCTGTTGTATTCCACAAGTGCTGTCATTACTTAACTCAAGTACATTCACTAAGAAAATCTGCAGAATGGGCTTTTATCGATCTCATTAAGTATATATATATATATATATCGGTACATTATTCAGAAGTTCAGGCATCAAACATTGTATTAGATATTTTGTTAATATATAATCTGTTCGAAACTGAATAGTATCCAAGGTATCGTGATCAAGAGTTTCCTTATAGAATAAAAATATTATTTTTTGCATAATACCTAAAAGGTTCAACCCTTTCTTTTTGTGGCCTCAATGTATTAAAAGAACTGTAGCGCATATCTGATTTCTTATAGCATCTTCATTCGTGTTATACGTATAGTAACAGATATCGCCAAAGCATTTATTATCTTAGTTGTTTCTGAATATTTTAAACAATTTTTCGAGTGCAATAAAGGAGGCATAACCATAGAAACCTCAATTTTAATGTCAGGACTCCATTTGAAGTTTCTACAAGGGGAAGACATTGAACAACACTGTAAAAAAATCGCATGCTTTAACCGTGCTAACCTGAATTTAGAAATCACTATTTCGTTCATCAAGGAACAGGATTAATGTAATTTAAATTGCTTTTAATTTTTTAGACTTTTGAGAGAAGAAACTCTTCAAAATGAGTCAAAAAATTCAATATATGGTCACGAAGAATACCAAGTTTGAAACAACGTTGGCACGCTATTTAATATCTGATGCTTACAATCAACTAATTGGTTATGATGCCTGTATCGAAAAACAAGGAAAAACTATCAAATATCGTTTAATTGTATTAGGTTTAGAATCGCTTTATATGACGGATAATCCACCAAAGTTTATTCAATTGGAACGACCCTTTATTTATTACAGAGACATTGTTAAAGCCGAAATGGTACATAAAATAATTTCATCTATCACTGTTTTCATCATTTTAACGAAAACGTTCATCTTTTTTTTACGTTAGATTGACGATTATCCTGACTTTTTATCTGGTACGGAAAAAGAGAATGCAATTCATATGAGATTGAAAGTAATGATGCCAAAGAAAAAACGGAAAAAGAAAGATCCTAGTGTTGAAGAAATGGAGACAATACCGTGTTTGTTTGATAAACCGATGCTCGATAATATAACAGATTATATGGATGAATCATTGAAGTAGGTAGTAAATACACACAAATTGATTTTATCCATTATTATTTGTTTAGTTACTTGAATCCCTCTCGTGATTTATACAATGGCCCATTAACTAAATTATTGGCAGCCATTCCATTATTGTTATCATCATCTATTCAAGATGATAATCCTACCAATGATCAATCAGCACAATTAACATCACGTTCAATTGAACCATTGAATTTGTCCGATTTAGTACCACCCTTGAGTTTATCGGATGAATTCAGAGAACAATTACAACGCTTGGATATTACAGATCGATCACGTGTTCAAACATTATTTGATTCACGAGTCACTACCATCACACCACGATCAAAATCTGCTCGTTCATCGAAAAAGACAAAATCGACATCATCAACGAGTCCAAAATTCAATCGATATTCATTGAAAACAGTTTATGGTAATAGTACATTATTAACACCACGTATTCAAAAGACAATGTTATCAGATACATCTGTTGGAGACGAGATTTTTCTCACTCCACACACCTCACGTTCAATTCTATCAACTACAACATTATTGTCAAATACTTCGCATAATCCAACAATATATTGTCCAACAATTGAAGAAGTGAAAAGGTAAAACATTCAGCTTTCATAAAAGAACAGTTTTTAATTAACTAAATAACAATTTTTTAGAAAATAAGCAAACGGGTTTGTACTTTGAATCTTAGTTTCTTTCATATCTCGTAGAAATGCATGCTATCATAGTAAATCATTGATTCATTTGTCAACTTCTTAGAATATCATATAGTTTAGATCTATGAAATTTTATTACTTTTATTTAATTTTCATGTTTTATTCACTTCTTCCTTTTAGTCTTGATAATGATGCAAAAGAGATGCGTGATATTGATATTTATTTTCTTGCAAACGATTCTAAAATTCCTGAAATATTGAGTTCAGCGTTGAATAATTATATTGTGGTAAAATTTCATTAACTTTAATTTTCTAAAATAAATACAACAACAACAACAACAATCTAATTGTTTTAGAATGCTACTTTAACATTTGATCGTAATCAGCAAAAAATACCTTTACAAAGTTATAACTCTCAGGACATGTAAGCTAACTAAGAATCTATTCTTTTTTCTTGTCGTAAACGTAGAGTTTTACATATAGAATAATTATGAAAACAAAATTTTCCCAATTAAAACAAGAAATAATGCAGTCAACAATTGATATCGATCGATTACTTACACTTACTATTGAGCTACATGATGCTATTGAAAAATATCCAAAAGTAAAAGAATTATTTTGGAAGGTAAAAAACGTCTATATTTTCTATAAATAAACTAATATTATTTGTATCTTGTTTTCTGTCTGAACATAGGATCAAGATTTATTTATTTATTATACAGCACATTTACAAACATGCATTGAAAATATTGAAAACAAAATTCATTATTCATTAGAAGATGATGAAGAAGAATTACAAATCAAGTATGTTATAAGACATTATTATTATTACAAAAATATTTTATTTTAGATTAGGATTATCTGTCATGACTTTACTTAATCAAGCATTTCTGAATACATTTGCATTACAAGATAGATTTTTAAGATTAGAACATAATCGGTATGTTTATTAGAACATATTTTATTATTTGTGGGTCAACCGATAATTGAACGATCCTAATATTTGACGCTTTTCAATGCGACGTTTCTTTCGATCAACAAATTTGTCGAATAAATTTTGCGCTTCTCATTGGTAGGGGGGATAGTGAGGGTAGGGAGAGTGAGTGAAAAACTACTATTCCTCGCATTATTGTTGTAATGTAATGTGAAATCCCAAGGTTTCAATTATTTTGGGCACAATTTTATTTAGCGATTGATGTAACGGCATTTCATTCATTCTTGATTGAAGGGGGCACTGTTAGATTTGAATTATTCTGACTGCGCTATAAAAAATAAAGTGTGTCAAAAAGTGTGTAAATGACCTAGACGTTCACTCGACATCAAAAAGTGTATATTTTTTCTAGACGGGCAGCCTCAGTGTGTAAGAGTATTAAGTGTGTTAAAAAAAGATTTGGTAATTGGGTTTTTAACAGGAAAAAGGGTAAAAAAGGAAAAACTA